ATCTCCTCCTCTTCACTTTTACCTGCCGACGGTGGTGATTTGGATCAGGGAAAAAATTGGAGCGCCAGCATTTATAGTCCTTGATTCGAAGTTTGTCATATGATAATTCCAAATATGAGCATATTCTTAGCTTGACAAAACTGTGTATTACTTGAATTTTTATATAAAAACCATCATAATAACTTGTTAATGGCATACATTATTTATCTATATCGCTTGGTATGATCCAGAGTTCGTTGTTGAGATTATTAACGATTTTTGCCCTTTTTAAGCGATATTCTGGTGCCAGAAAAGTTAAGGCAGACTCCATAAGCGACAGCCATCTCCGCTCGCAAGCGGCCATTGCATCACCGAGAAAAGATTAAGGCAAGAGAGACAAGCGGTAGCTTTCACCACTCGCAAGTGACAGTCTCTCCCGCTTGCAAGCGACAGCCCAGATGCCCACCACTGCAGAATGATAGCAAATATTGACTAAGTATTCCAACTGCAGCGGTACAACCATTCCATTTCCAGCCAGCCCAAGCAAGCCTAGCTGCGCTGATTCCCTCCGGCAAGCGAGGAAGATCTGAGCCTTTACTGTCCTATGCAAGCGAAGTGGCACCCTAGAAGTTATGGCCAACAACTACTTCAATAGAATAACTGCCATCAACCGCCTAACTGCCTAGCGGTTGGAACTGCCTTGTAACTGCTTGCAACCGTTCCTTTCCACCTACTATAAATAGGGCCAGATATCTCTTTTGGCGGTGGACATTGCTGACCTGGTGTCACTGACCTGGCGGATACGTCACCTCCGGCGAGCCACGTGGGCGTTTCCGGCGCCGGAGGACCAAAATAGTGAAAATTTTTCACTTATGAGACTAATTTACGACAGGCTCTACTTACGGGACTAAAATGATAAGGGAGTCCAGTTACGGGACTAAAAAAACAGTTTACCCAAAATAAAATTATCCACATGTTCACCGGATCAACATTGACCTTTAATAATTTATATATTATATTTTTTTAATTATATATTTATATATATATCACAAGACACTTCAATTGGTGCACTCTCATAATTTTGGAATTTTTTTAATTTTTAAATAATTTTACTTTTTTGGGGATAAATTTGGAATTTTATTTTATTTTTAAACTAATTTTACTTTTTCTTTTGAATTATTTGTAAATTATTTTTCTAAAATTAACAAAAGAACTAAACATATGGATATAATTAAAGATTTTACATATGTTCTGAGGAATAATAACAAACTCATCAAATAATATCTCATAAATCTTTTTAAATCATAATTAATCAATTCAATTTACCAATCACATTATATATAATTATTTAATTCTATAAATATATATCCTGTGCATATTTATATCTATGTATATAATTATCCTAATCTCTTTTTCGTATATTTTTGTTATTGAGATTCAATCATTATATATATAATTACATATACCTATATTTCATTAATATTTCGGTATAATTTTCAATTTCGCATCTCATTGCATTATGTTCAATTTTGAGCATTATGCTAACTTAGAAGGGGAAATTCGAAGGGAGATTCAACATCATTAATCTGTGAGAATACAAAAGGTTAAAAGAGTAAGAAGGTATGTGAATACAAAATAATTTTTTCAAATTTATGGATAAATTTTGATTTTTGATTTTTTATTTTTGAATTCATGTACTTTTGAAACTAGATAAATATGTTTTTCTTATTATTTATTTTGTTTGTAAATGAATATTGTACAAGGGGAATAAAAAATTGCTCGATTAAGACGGAGAAAACAACTTCATTTGAAGAGTAAACCAAATCAGAACTTGGATTTTATAATTAATGATATTGATGCGGAGTATCAAAAATTTTGTCATATTTATATTCTTTCAAGTCAACCTCCTATTTATGCAACTACACGACAAGAAGAAGATAGACTCGAAGAAATAGAAGTCGACAAATCAATTGTACGTATGTTTCAAACATTATATAAATATTTTATTATATATTTTTTTAAATAATTTTATTTTTATTGATTAGGGAATGGAAATTCGTCGATAAATATTATTTTGCCAAATTCATCACCACCAATTGAAGGTAAATAATTTTCTTAATTTTATTATTATTTATTATTATTGTTGTTGTAACAGAAATCCTAATCACCGTCCTCATCCACTTTTTATTCCTTCCACCCTCCACTTTCTTCCCCACAAAATCCGCAACCACCGTCCCTCATTCGCCAATCTTTTCTTCTTTTTTTTTTATTTAGTTTTTGTTTTATATTATTTTAATTATAATATATTTATCAAATTATAATTAAAATATATTCATTTTATATTTGAAGAATAATCAGAAATTTTTAAGAAGTGTTCGTAATTGGTTGTGTTTTCAAATGGTGGGATTATTGATTGGATATATGTAGTTTGACCTGAAATTTACAGAATATGACAGAGTTTTTAGGTTTATTTTCTTGATCTTTATTTTTCTTAATATATATTTTCGTTTGTTGATTTAATGATGATTGAGCATATTTATATGTATTTTTAAAAACTCTTTTTTTATTTTTTTACCTTGAAGGGTTTTCACATGAAAATTTATTTATTTTTCGTACTCCTTTCATCCCATAACAAAGTATTCATTTTTCCATTTTAATCCGTCCCATAACAAAGTATCTATTTCCTTTTTTAGTAATTGTACTATCTACCTAACATTACAAATACCGTTACAACTTACAATATATTACACAAATGTCATTACCTTTATATCACACATACTAATAAGGTTATTTTAGTCATTTCTACTTTATCCCTATTATATCCCAATATAATACTAATATTTCTAAAACTACGTGCAAAAAGCAAATGGGTATTTAGTTTCGGGACGGATGGAGTATTTTATTTACACATAAAATTTGTTATCGTTTAAAAGAAGTGAAAGATTTTCCATATGAAAAAATATCATTATCTCTTTTATATACTATTATTTATGTATATAATTTATTATCCTTCCTTATATAATGGAAATTTTATAGTAAATTTTTTTTTTTCGACTAAATAAATTTAAACTTTATTATATGAAAATTTTTACTAATTAATTTTTTTATCCATACTATGATGCAAAAAAAAGTTTTAAAGAAAAAAGAGAAAGAAAAAAAGAATGAGAAAAAAATAGAAGAGAAAGAACAAAGTATAAAGATTATTTATTTTATTTTATTATATCTAATAATATTATTAAATTAATTTTAATTTTCTGCTAATCGATTCTTTTTATTCTTATTATATTTATTTACAAATTTATTTAGTTTCGAGTATAATATTCTAATACTTCATTGTTATTGTATATGTATTTTTTAAAATTATCTATTGTATTATTATTATTTTCTACTAAAATATTTTTCATTCTTATTATGTATTATTTACTATTTTATTTAGTTTATAATGTTCTAATAATCCATTATTATTGTATATGATTTTTTTAAAATTATTTTGTTATTCTTATATAATTTTTATTTGATTTATAATTTACTTAATATTATTGGTTTGTTTTTCTTTTCGTTACTATATATATTATTTATTATATTGTTTGAACCTTGTTTTCAACTGAAGGCTAATGACAAACTTCTTTCAAATTTATTTTGATTTTTAATTTAAGAGTGATTATGAATAATTGTTTTTTATGTCTAATATGTTTGAGTTTAAATTGAAGTATATATTTATGAAATTTTAATTCGCTTACTTAATATTCTTTATTTGGTTTAGTTACCGTATTTTTTATTTATAGTTTATTTTATATATAAATTAAGTTTTGTTACGTTCATACAAAATTTTATTATCAAAATAAAATTTTTTATTTAAAATATAAAATTAAATTAATATCACAATTTATATAATTATCCGTGGCTAGTTTTATTACTATAAAAAAATAAAAACTATTGACAGTAGCAGCCCATGGTGCTGACTTGGCAGACACATCGATAATTTTTATTTTTTCATTTTATTTATTTATATTATTTTTTATTTTTCAAAAATTTTTATATTTTTTAATGTTATTTTCATTTATTTTTATTTTTTATAATTTTTTTTATTTTTTTATTTTGTTTATTTTTTATATTTTAAAATAAAAATAAAAAATTATCCACATGACAAACACGTGCCACGTGAAGCTGACCTAGCCCACATGTGTACGCCATCATAGGCATTGATGACTAAATGTGCGAAATTTTTTCACTATTTTAACATAGTCTTCGGTTACCACACTAAAATGATGAAGAGGTTAAAAAAATACCTTAAATTTATGTATTTTATTAAAAAAATATTATAATAAAATAATAATAAAAAAAGGTCTAATTAAACTGAAAAGATTTTTTAATATAATTTGTGTTATTGAAAATTATTTTTTTCCATATATAATTTATATATTATTAATATATTAATCCGATTCGGATCAGATCCGAATAAGATCCATCCTTTGACCCGAGATTCGATCCGGACCCACTAAGAATACACTATACCCAATCCAGACCCAATTCAATATCCAAATAATTCGACCTGACCCTAATTAAATGGGTTGGAAATCTGCTAAAAGTACCTATATCCGATCCAGAACCGACTCAATATCCAAATAATTCGACCTTGACCTCAATTAAATGGGTCGAATCCAGAGTGAGATCTCGGGTTTACCCGAGATCCATTGCCATCCCTATTGAAATGACCAGAAATACTACTAATGACATGTAATTAAATTATAAATTGCCTTCAAAGAAGAATATTTTCGGCATAAAAAAATTTGCTTTATTGGCATAGTGGTGTAATTAATTATATAGGAGCGAAGAACTATTTTCTCTTTTGGTTCCAATTTCCAAATTATGGTTTACTTTTAACGGGCCATGTGGGCTAATAGTTGACTAGAAAAGAAAATTTTATTTAGTTTGGGCCTGAACTAAATAAAGAATATTTTATGAGGCCCAATCTATAAATGCGCTTAATTGTTCTGTATAAATGCGTTAGCGAGGCGGAGGCGGAGGCGGAAGGAACTGACAGTGCAGTGCATTACGACGTCGTTCGCCAACTGCTGCGGCCTACGTGCTATCTCGCCATGGAAGTAAGTTCTAGCGCTAGTGAGACGGCTACCAGTGACGACGAGTTACGCCGGGGCGGCGAGGTTAATCGGCGACCGATCGTCAGCGATGAGCATCTCGACGTCGAGGCGTATGCCGCTCTGTACACCGGGCGCACCAAAATCATTCGCCTCAAGTACATTGCGGATAAATGCGGTGTCCCTTCGATGGAGCTGGAGGCTCTTCGGATCGCGTATGACGAGGCTAAGAAGGGAGGAGACTCGGGGCTTTTCAATGAAATTGTTCGAAAGATTGACGGCCGCCTAGGCGAAGCGTATGGGCCGGACGATGAATGGGTCAGTGGTGTGGAGAAACGAGTGACGTCAAGGAGGGAGAAGCTCGAAACAGACATCTCTGCTTCCGTGGTTGAGTATTTTTATCCGTAAACGCTGAATTTTGTTGTAGTGTTGATCCTGCGTTCTCTAGTCTCTACTGAATCGGCTAGTCTTACGCGAAATTTTATCTGTACGGAATGCAATTAATTCAAGTGTATGAATCTGCGGCCTTCAAATCATATCAATGAGGTATAATCTCTGATCAGAAATTAAACCTATTCATTGATCGCAACCAACGGTGCTCCATGAACGTAGATGAACAGCAAAAATTATCTTGTATACTTTTCATCCATGATGTTTAAGAACATATCATTTGGACTCTTTAGGAAGTTATACAGGAGAGTTTTTGGATTCTCCTGTGATGTGTGTTTTAGAGAGGAAATCTCTGAATTACGTTTGATCTTTTTTGACTAATTCTGTACTGGAGTCTGACCTCTGCACATGATTTTAATCTGGTAAAAACTTTTTGTGTTTAAGGAGGATTTGTAATTACATGTGAGGGAGAAGTGATTGATGGATGATTTCCATGTTCTATATTCCTATTACATAGATTGTGTCACAAGCATTTTGTTCTTGATTTGATAGGTTTTTGTTGGTATTTATTTGTTTTTTACTTAAAGATGGGCTGGTGCAGGAATAATACTTTTCAAATGTCTGTGACCATAGTTATGGTATATTCTCACAAGTGAATTTAAATTTCCAAAACTATGACAGAAACTCATAATAGCAATGTTAAGTGTCAAAGTGCAGCTGCTATAGTTCTTATAATCCCGACTATTTTGCTTATCACTTTCTTATCTGCAGGAAGATAACATAAAAGAGAGTGTTCGCGTGGCATATGAGGATCTTGGATATTTTTCCTATGAGCATGGTTTTCTTGGAGAGGCATTTAGGAGTTACGCCCGATCGGTTGAATACTGCAGCACACCCGAACAAGTTGTTCATGCGTGCATGAATGTAATTCGGGTCAGCTTGGAAATGAACCAACATGGAACTGTTGGGAAATATGTTAACAAGGCTGAGGAAACCAAAGGTGGACTGGATTCTCTTGCAGTAGCAAAATTACGTTGTGTTGCTGGATTGGTTTTTCTTGGCACCAAAGACTATAAACATGCTGCCCGGAAGGTTTGTTTATGGATTTTTTGTCTTTCTGAAGCATGTTGTAAAAATGGTTCATTCAAACCGAATTGCAGCCAATTTCTAGTTTGGTAAGGATAAGCCATGCCATATTGAATAAGCAGAGAATTTCAGCAGGCTACCACCGAGCCTAATTGTCCTTGTCTGAGAGATTTTTTTGGCAATGATTGGATCTCTACCATGAGATGGAATACCCATCTTTTGGTTTGAGTTAGGAGTATCATCATATAATTATGGGTGGTTGAAGTTGTTTCTTTAACAATTGTTGACCCCTTTAGTTAAGTGCTTTTCTTATTTTGAAAATAAATAAATGATATGTCTGACTGAATTAGGAAGAGGAGAATCAAATGTTAAAAGTGATTGTATAGATTTTGGGAATTTCTAATGCTTTCATCTTGAGAAAATTGATTGTCAAACTAGTAGATCAGCAACCAAGTTATACTGAAGTTTACTTGTTGGCAATATACACTTATGCTTGTCTTATGTTTTACTTGCTTAATTGCAATATTTCCTGCTGCCTTCGAGAAATGAAAGAAAGATAAAGTGGCATGATCATACTGAATACAAAATTGCTTAATGTGATCTTAACTTATATGAGCAAGAAACTTGGGGAGAAAATATATTCTATATGTCTATAGTTTTTGTCATCATGGGAGATTTGCTTACCAATTCATCAGATTTTAAAAAGCATTAATCTTGGTAGAGCATGTTGTGTTTTGCACACTTTCAGTTTTAACTTGTCCAACATTTTATCCGATTTCTGCATTTTGCAGTTCCTAGAAACTGGGTTTGAGCTAGGGAACAACTACTCTGAAGTAATTGCATCCCAAGATGTTGCAACATATGGTGGTCTATGTGCACTTGCAAGCTTTGACCGTGCAGAACTGAAGGTGAATTTCACATTCTACATTCTTTATTTGTTTTAAGACCTAGATGATTAAGATGTGGAGGCTTTCAGTTTTCTTACAATGTAATTTGTTTCTTTCTGTCAGAGAAGAGTCATCGACAACGTTAACTTCAGGAATTTCTTGGAGTTGGTTCCAGAAGTAAGGGAGCTCATCAATGATTTCTATACTAGGTAACTTAGTTAGAACATGCAACATGAATTTTAAGCATCAGTCATTTGCAGATGGAACGAAAATAAGATGTAAAAATCCATGCTTCACTGGCCATCTTTGTAGAGAATTTAATGTTTTTACCAAAAAATTAATTATGAGCGATGACCCAGCTATGGATTTACTTTGTCATGAAAATTACCTCACACGAGCTAGTAGATTAAATATATAGTGGCATCTTAAATATGTTTTTTGACTTTGAATAACCTGGGTTTATGTTGCAGCCGCTATGCTTCTTTTCTCGAGTATCTTGAGACTCTAAGGGCAAAGATGGTAGTTGATATCTATTTACAAAGGCATATGGAGGGTCTATATGACAAAATACGAAACAAGGCTCTCATCCAATATACTCTCCCATTTGTTTCTATGGACATCCGCATGATGGCAAATGCCTTCAAACTATCCGTTACAGAGATGGAGAAAGAGCTTGAAGGATTGATCACGAAGAACATAATTCAGGTAATCGATACCCTTCCATGAAACACAGAGCTGGTTAGCATTATCCTTAGTGAGATTTTAAACTTAGTTTTCACTTTATATATATATATATGTGTGTGTGTGTGTGTATTTGTCTGTATTTGATTGGTCTAATCCTGCAGGCTAAAATTGACTCCCATAACAAAATTCTTTATGGGCGGCATGCTGATCAGAGGAAAGGCACATTTCAGCGAGTCCTCCGAGTTGCTAATAAATTTGATCAGGATGTTAGAGCAATGCTTCTACGAGCAAGCATCATCATGCATGATTGCAACCATGATGACGCCTATTATCCATCTTAAAGGCATCTCTGATTCTAAGGGCAATACTGATGCAGGTTTGAAATATCATTTTTTTACAAAATTACATATAATGGAAACAAAAGCACCAAAATATGTTGAGACTTCTAAAGCCAATAGGATCATAAACCATGGAATCATGCAATTCTCCCTAGGTTTTCCAAATATATCTTTTGCTTGCAGCCCTTTAGTATCAACATTAACGTTGGTCAGTTGGTGCCATTATCAATGAAAATCTTTTGGTTTTATATGGTTTCAGCTTTCTGTGTAAAAAAATTATAATATTTATTCATGTGTAATTTGTGCATACACCCCCGCATACATAATGTTTTTCGAAACTCGAATGGCTGCCCTCATCGGTAGTCACTGAGCTTATCTAAAATTCATTAGAACTTTATGTAGATCCTGCTTGTGCAAACCCTTTTTAGCAGTTCGTAGGCGCCTTATATGATATATACTTTGTAGCTTCAGGAGTGCCTAGGAAATTCTCTAGTGTGAATAATGCATCGAGGTATTCAGTATATGCAATTTAGAAAGAGAGATGTACGCATTTATGTATGAGCGCTTCCTAGTAGATTGTGGCGTTTTAGAATTTGATGAGGCGAATGGTAATTGGCACACAATGCATTGTATATAATATGTAAGAATAGGAAACTTAACCAAAGCTATTGCATAATACATTAGATTCTTTGCATCGTAGCAGAATTGTGCCGTGCATTCAATATGGTTTATTTTTAAAGTTTCGAGCATAGTATTATGATACACATACATATATATCATATTCTTGTTGTTTTATATTTGGGAAGCAGTAGTAGTTCTGAGAGTAGGATCCACTAAATTAATAACAATAATAGTAACCCTCTGAACCCCAACATCAAATGAAACTCTGTTTTTTTCTGACTGAAAAGAAACATGGACAATTGCTGCATATGTATGTATCTACCTCTGAAGTATTATTGCACATTGAATGATGAGGAGTTGCAGATAAATGCAATAGTGGTGTTGTTTTCTCAACTTATTGTTGCTAAACATTTACTACTAAATGCACTTTTATTTTCTCAAGTTGAAGCCGGGCATTTAGTGTTAGACATGCATATATCGGTGGTGGTGGTGGTGGTGGTGCGCACGCACCTCTTGGTATTCTTAATTGGAAGCAGCCCCTACATTGATGAGGTGAGGTGAGGTATCACACAACTAGCTAACTCTCCTCATTTAATTCAAATTGCTCCTATCATATCAACTGAAGTGAACTAGTCACAATTATCACTCCCTCCCTGCAAGCATGATGATGCATACAATTCATCTTCTTTTATTGACTCACTATCATACTAATAATGTGTTTTTCCATAAAGTTGAAATCCTTATGAATAGCGGCCAAATAGTTGAATAATGAATGTGATTCTATGCGCGCCAAAGATAGAGAGAATGGTGTTTTTCTTGCCATTTTATTATGTTTTTTTTTTATATTTTTGAACTCGAATATTTGTTGAATATAATATTTTATATCCACTACTATCTTATAACAAAAATATTATATTCAGTAATTATTTTAGCTTAGGGATAACAAATTACAAATGTGTAAAAGCACACAAAATCACAAGTGAATGCATCCTGATTTGTTTGATTTATGCATATTCTTGTATGAGTGTATTATGCAATGATTTTTAGTGTATTTATTTTGTGTTTTCGGATATCTTTATTTTTTTTTTTACGAATTACATTGGTAATATAAAAAGAATATTTCTTCCGTCTGTGTAAAAATAAATTCAATTTTTTGTTGAAAAAGAAAACAGGTCTAGACAAATAAGAAAAATGAAAGTATTTGTTCTCGGTTGGAAACAGATGAAATGTTACTATTTTTCACAGACAGGAGGGAGTATATGATAACGTGAGTTTTATATATTATAAATTTTTGTAATAATTTCTGAAAATTGTATCCGAAAGAATGTTAGGTGAATACATAATTTTATTTGATTGTGTTTCAAAAGTTCAAAATAATTATGAGTAGCAGATGAAATTTATGCATATATTTCATTTAATTATTTTTATGTATTGTATATGTGATCATTTTATATATTGTCATTATTTTTAATGTTCTTTCATTGGACTTCTTAACAGTGATTGCGGCTTTCTTTCTTTGGCCTTTTTTCCTCAGTTTCTATTTTTGGAATCTTTAAGTTTCTATATATATATATAATATCACATCAATTATTATTTAAATAAGAAATTAAATTTAAATCTTCCTAATACAAATCCAAAGAAACACACCCACATAGAGTTAAACAGTTGTGTAACCCAGAAATTTATAATGATAAAAAGCTTAAGCTAATGGCCCGGTTATTTTATTTCTATCACATTCTTTGCATGGCAAATTTTTATTGTATTTTTTCAAAACAAAACGTTCAATATATATTAATCATTATTCACTCACAAATATTAAAATATAAAACTAAAAACAAACCACACTAAACAAATACCCACTAATTTTTTATTCACTAACGTTATAATTAAATTATTAGTCAAAGCAAATCGATCATTTTATTAAATACGAATCGTTTTTGGAAGTCAACATCATGTGCATGTTTCACAAATAGTGCTAGTTACTATTGGATTGATAATCAACTACACATAATTCAACACCTATTTTATATAAGAAAACAAAATACAGTATATAATACATAAGTAAATATTATCTCCAATTCCAGTAATAATAATAATAATAATAATAATAATAATAATAATAATAATAATAATAATAATAATAATAATAATAATAAAGGCAGACACATTCAAGCGATGTTATTATATATATAAATTAGTAAAGAGAAGAGAAGAAAAGGAATATATAAGAATTGTTGTACAATTGCAATAATTTATTTTTATGAATAAGAAGAATGTGTGTAGGTTAATTATCATTGAATTGATAATGATGGTGTTGTTATAATTTATTAATTATTATTTTTGTAATTAAATAAATACCACTACACTACTTACTTTCAATTTATTAATTAAATGGTAATAATGTAATAAGCTGCATTAAAGTGGTAATGCAAAAGACACAACACATTCAGCTTTAAAATTCAAGGTTTTGTTTGCTATACTATACTATACCCTACACTATTCATCATTTAAATTCAATAATTTTATCATATTAAGATTGAAGGTGCTGATATAAACACACACACACATAAATATAGTCATTTAATAATAAATATATGTGATTTAGGGTTTTTCATTTTTGGGTGTGTTTTTAAGTGAAATAGTAATCCAAGGTATGGTGTATTTACTCAATAATTGTATGTTTAGCATTTTTATTTTATTTATCTATTTATTTTTACACGAGGGATTCAAAGAAGGGTATTAATTATATAGAAAATAATATCTTATATTAAATATTAATTTTTATGAGAATATATATATATATACTATAGGAATCATATTGAAGAAAATTAATATAAAAAATATGTCAAATTGAAAATATTCATCCCATAATTTTTAGATGATACACACTACTAGAAAATTAGGCTATAGTTACAGTAAAAAAAAGTTATGGTTTTAATACAAATTGGTGATTTTTTACTAAAAGGTCACGGAAAAATATACAGGACTATTTCCGTAGAATTTTGCGGGTGACATTTATCTGACAATAAGTTACAGAATAATATCATGACATGTCTGTAACTTTATAGCAACAGAACAGAAGCTGCAACAAAATTTCGTGAATATTTTATAATTGTGACATTTTCGTAATAATAAGTTACAAAATAATACCATTACACCTCTGTGATTTTATATTCACGAAAGTTGTAACAATTTCGTGACTATATATTTTTGAAAAAAAATATATATAATTATCTTATAATTTTTGTTCAATACAACCATACATATTATTTTTGACCTAGTGACCTTATAGTTATTAAAGACTTACATGACATGTCATGCCAACTTAGCTACTCTAAAGTATTAATTTTTGTGTGTTATTATATTTTAACTATATAAATATTATTAGTTATATTTTTAACAATATATACATATTTATTTAATATATCATCATGAATTTTTACCAAAACATTGACTTTGTTTAATAATATAAAAAATTATTAAATTTATTTAACATATAGTATTTTTTTAGTATCTAAGAGTTTTTTAATTTCATCTATTGTCAATAAATTTTTTATTTTTATTTTTTCGACTCAATCATTATTTTTAAAAAATCAATTATATAAACTTTCAAAATTAAAAAAATATATTTAAAATATTATCTATACGGTAACTATAAATAGTTAAATATTAGTTTATGTTAATATTTGCAATAACTTAAATCAATATATATTAATTAAATAAAATTATTTATAATGTAACCCTAGATAGTAGAATTTTTTATAAAAATAAATATAATTAAGATTTTGCTAATATTTCAGTACTTATGTCATGATTTTAAATAGTGATGAATAGTTAAAAAAAATTATCCAATTACAATACAAGTAAAAAAAATAAAGATATTGAAGATGATTTTATTATTTTGTTATTACTTTAAATAACTACAAACGATAATAAGAAAATTTTATAGTTGTTTTCGTTACTTATTTTGTGACATTTGATTTTTAAAAGTAACGGAAATTATACCATGATAATATCTGTAATAATTTAAAAATGTTGCAAGCATTTTGGTTATTTTTACCGCAACTTAAAATAATCGAGAAAAAATTTCGTGACAATTTTTGTGACGAAATTGTCAAAAGACACAGAATAGAAATATCTTGGACATTTTCGTTACGTTAGTCGTTATTTTAAATAGTCACGGAAAGTTGTTTGTAACTTTTTCTGCAAATATTACTTACGGAATAGTCAAAGAAAAAAATTGTGACATAAATTTGTCACGAAATTACTTTCCCTGACTTTTAATTGTTGCGGATTAAAATTTGCGACAAATTTTCGCAATTATCAACCTTTTTTCTAGTAGTGGCCATTTCTTATAAATATTACTAGAAAAATATAATATATATACACATATTAACACAATATATAATATATATTTTATCAACTCACAAAAAGTCAACAATTCAATATAAAATACTCTCTTCGTCCCGGTGCAAGGTTGTCGTTTACTTTTTGCATGTAGATTTTTTAATATTGGTATTATAATAGGTTGTAGTGAAAAAGATGAAAATACCCCTATTAGTATTGGTAATGACATTTGTGTAATATAATGTAAGTTTGAAGGGTATTTATTATGTTAGGTAAGTAGTACAATTACTAAATTAAAAAATGATAATCTTATTTTGGGAGAGACAAAAATGAAAAATAACAACTTTTTAATGAGACAGGGGAGCATTATTTTTATATTACCGATACGATTCTATATCTCTAACATAAAAAATGCATCAATTACAAAACAAAAAGTGAAGACACTCTAAACAAATTTTAATATATATGTATATATATATATATATATTTGTTGAATGTAAATTTTTTATAGGAAAATTGAAACATGTAATTTTTGTGTTTTCTTTTTTTTTTTTTTTTGTATTTTAGTCTTTATTTTTTAATTTGAATAGTAGTTTAAATATATCATTTGTAAAAAAGAAAAATTGTACTATCTCCGTTTCAAACATCGTTGTATATCTTTTTTTGGTATGTTATGTACATTCTGCAATATTTCTAAATTATAAAACAATTAAATATATTTAATTTATATCTCACATTTTAACTTATCACATCACTCAAAGAAATATATATTTTTTCTCTCATTAAATCAATTAAGTTTCAAATTATCCTACTTAATTTATACATCTAACTTATGGTGCTAAAGTCAAATGTTACGTTATTCGAAACGGAGAAAGTAATAATTGCATAATAAAAATAAATATAATTATATTTCAAATGATACCATTGAAGTTTATTTAATTACATAATTTATATATTCTAGTGAAATGGTTTTGTTTACCTGTATTTATTTTGCTTAATATTTCTTCTGTCCCATTTTAAAGTACTATTTTTATTATTTTTAGTCGTCTCATTTCAAAGTATTTTTTTCATATTTTAGTAAAAGTAATTGTGCACTAATACTAAAATATCTTTTAACTTTTACCTAAATTACAAATATATAATTATACATACAAAAAACTTTATACATAAAGTCAAATAATAAAAATATTAAAACCTCTTATATACTTCTACTGACCATTTAAATACTTTTATTTTTTAATTTACTACGAAGTCTCAGATGACTCATTTGAAGCGTGACGGAAGGAGCATTACTATTTAGCGTCTCTATTTTATTTAAAGAAATAGGGTTTGTGTTTAAAATATTATATCTATTTACTGGTATGTTTGGCTTGTAGTTTTTATACGAGTTTTGTGTTTATACAGTAATTTAGCTTGATATTTTATATAAAATATATATATATATATTTTAAAAATATGTAAATTGTATAATAACTTAAAGAAAATTACTTAA